CTAGTTTTGCTAAATATCTTATTAATTACGAAACTAAAAAGATCGACTAACCTAATAAGACCATGATCGAGAATCGCTTGTTCTTCAGAGGTCCAATTCATGGCGATTCCTGATTGATGTTTCATCACTGAGCTCTCCGACGACGACGGCGGCGAGTTACCGGAGAATGGATTACGGTGGTTTATTTCATCGTTTGATCCGGAAGGATTCATCATCAAAAGGATTATGGATAGAAAAAACTCCAGAGAAATCGGAGGAATGTGTATATATGTACGGAAGTTGAGAAAACAATAATAATATTATTTAAAAAACGATTTTTAATTGTACGGAAGTGACCAACAAATTCTTATAATCAAAATTCTTTTTATTCATTAGTTTTTTTTCTTTCTGAAAACAGATTTTTATTCATTAGTTAGTTAATAATAAAATATATATGGAAATTTATATACGTATAATTATATTGACAGAAAAACTCAAATATGTGTATGTATAGACACAGCTTGACGTTTTTTAGTTAATTCTCCATGATTGCAAAGACAACAATAAAAGGTCTAATTAATTAACACACAAAAAAAATTTATTTAAAGGTTATATAATCATCATCGTGCATTGTTATTGTCGACCATAAACACATTTATAATAAATAGCTGTATGAATGTGTTCATACATGAGTGTACAATGAGACGACAAATATATATATAATGCTGGAATTTGTTTAATTAGAAAAACAAAAGCAATCTTGAATATCATTCATGTAAATATGAATGGAACGGTGACAAAAATCACAAGTTGATAGATGAATTTTTCTTTGATTTGTATATTCATATATTTCATTTTCTGTGATAACTTATATTTGCTCTACGATTGCATAAGATGATATTATAATGTATACAAAGATAGCAAAATGTAAATTCTCGTTTTTTATAATGTGAATTGTGTGATGATGTAATTAGCGTGAAGTCATTTGCTCATAGTCTTTAACAAAAAAAAACAAAAAATTGCTCATATTTTAATCGAAAAATTTCGAAATGCAAGAAAAATAGTTGAA